TAAATAAATCAAGTTTTTAGTAGTTTCTCAGTAATTCCCATTCCTTGCACATTGCGCCACTTCACAAAGTCTCACTGTTTTATTTCTCCCTTGCACAAAGCAACATTCCTAAGTACCAAACCTGTGCAATATTTTGTGTGGTTCAACCGAGATTAAATTTTCGCCCCTAATTTTCTAAAATCCCGACAGTACAACACTCATTGGAGAACACTGGCGATTAATGGCGAGCTTGAAATCTTTTTAACCATCCCATTCCCACCTGTACCTTCATGATATCCTGCAGCCCCTCCCCCCCACCCCCAAACCAATATCTAGTACCTGGTCACTTTTCTCAGACTAACAGCTAACCGTCGTCTGTTGGTCTGGCTTGTTCTTTGATTTTTTTAAATGTCCGGTCTTGTAGACTGTCCGTATTTCATCCCTGGCCGTAGCAAACAATTTAGAAAGATAATGGAAAGTGGACATCTGGGGTAGAACAATAGACAGAGTAATTTATTTACTCGATAGAATATAATAGGATAAGTTTAGTCAGTATTAACAATAGATCGAATAAGATTAGCCATTATAGAACAATAGACGGAACAAGTTTCACCAGGTAAGAACAGTAGATGGAACAATAAGTTAGAGAAAACAGCCACTAATTTATCAGAACATAGTTACATCAAGAGTTTTCAGAAACCAAATCTCTGTCTCCACATCTATCTCTCTGTCTACAAATGTATCTGCTGACGTCTGTCCCCGTCTCTGTATCTGTCTAACTTGAAGATTAACGCTGTAAGACAAGGAACAGCCTGCTAATTATTGCAGGAAATTGCCGCGCTGGATTCTCGTGGAAACAATGAAATATTTGCCGAGGCAAGCGATGAACAAATTAAAAGCACCGGGTTCACCCGAGAGTTAGAAGTGCAATTCACGTCAGAGATAATAGAACAGGGTGTAGATTCGATGTAGCAAAGTGTATGGATTTTAGATATCTAAGCAAAGTGTATGGATTTTAGAAATGTAAGCTATATATCTAGATTCTAGAGAAGTAGGCATAGTTTATGGGTTTAAGAGGTGTAAGCAAAATGAATGGATTTTAGAACTGTAAACATATTTTATAGAGTTTAGAGTTGTAAGCAAAATTAAAATTATAAAGATTTTAGAAAAGGTCAGGGATTCTCGACAAACGAATTTCTTTAATTAGGTTTCACTAGCTATTTTAATTAATTTTGGGAATCAACGGTTACTAGAGCAGGTGAGGTAGAGTTAATGTGTTGTGTTGGTAATAAGAAAAGAAGCTGTGATCTACGTGGAAAACCTGTGACTGGTACACATTAAGGCTGAATCGACTCTAAGCCCCTCTTATGCTTGACATATGAATAGATAGTTTCGACAATAGATAGTTTCGTCAATAGATTGTGTGGTCAATAGATATTGTGGGCTGTGGGGGGTTGTGGCTTAGACGTATTATACAGTTACGTCACACCTAAAATTGCTGTTTTTAGCAGAATTCGGGTATTACGTCGTATTTAAAATTGCGGTTTGGGGAATAATCTGGGTATTAAGGATATCGTAGGCTTTGGGACGAGGGATAAAAAAAAATGTTTGATTATATCTGGAAAAAATTTCCTTCGTTGATGGGATATGCGCATTTTTTATTCGGCCTTGAGAAACCCCGAAGCGAAATTGTTGTAATGTAAACAACGTTTTGACGCCCTAAATTATTTATTTTCAACGTAAACTCATTTGTACATTCTAACACATATATTTTCAACGTCAACATATTTGTACATTCTAACAGATATATTTTCAACGTCAATACATGTGTAAACCGAACAGATATATTTTCAATTTGACTGATACATTTCTCACAATATAACTGATACTATGTAATTATAAACTAACAATTACAAATATTTTGAATACAATAAAATAAACATCGAAAAAGTGTATGTTTTGAATAGCTATTCATAATTCAAAGTGGAGATACTGAACATTTGCTAACTATTTTAATTAACACTAGATTCTAAGTAAAACTTTAAAATACAATTTTTAATAAATTTATCAATATATTGTATACAGAATATAGAACAATCGCAGACTATCTGATTACTCTGTTAGCTACAGGACTTGGACTTGGTGTTTTTAAAAATCCGTATTGAAAATCCGTTTTTAACATTAATTTCTTCTTTCTCGTACAACGGTACAGATTATGTAGATAATGCTATTGAAAACTTGGCTGATTTATTATTTCCTCATTACTCCTGTTGACCCGCTGAGCTAAGCCTTGAAAACATGTTTTTATGTGGCGCAATTCCCAGACTTCTATTGCAACACCCAGCCCTCTAGTGAGAGGTTGAATACGATTCTCCTGAAAGTAGACACAAAAAAAGAACAATTTTAAATCCTTTTTTTTCTGGTGGATAACTACTCCAGACATACATCAGGTTTAGCCCTCGGTCTCGTCATCAGGTTTAGCCCTCGGTCTCGTCATCAGGTTTAGCCCTCGGTGTTGTCATCAGGTTTAGCCCTCGGTGTCGTCATCAGGTTTATCCCTCGGTGTCGACTTTTTTTTTGCTTGAATGTCTTAAGTCTGTGTGTAGAACTCTTCTAGTTTCGCTACGATTTTGTCTTATCTAGTTCATGACATCAACTATGTAAAAGGTGTGTACGTCCAGGTTTGGGGAGGAGGTGGGGGTTGTTCTACATAATGGCGACGGTAATCCAGGGAATGACGGGGGAAGGGGTGGGGCATTTTGTTGACAGACGTGTTTTTAAGCTATGAAGTCCCAGAAGCCCCACCTGCTATAAATCTTTTCATCCTACACCCACACTTTCGTCTATATTTGGTGTGGCGCCCTCCACTCACACTTTCGTCTATATCTGGTGTGGCGCCCTCCACCCACATATTTGACTATATGTGACGTGTCATTGCAAGTTCAAGGCCAGAAATGTCACCTAATTCAACTCACCACCAACAGTAATCTAGGTCAACTCACCAATGTGTCACCCAGCCAGCCTTATCCGACAGTAAAAATGATTTAGCCCTCGTGTACTTTTACTCTCTGTGTCCGCCTCTATCCCTTTCTTTCTGTCCGTCTGTCTGTGTGTTTGTCTGTCTTTTGTCTGTGTGTTTGTCTGTCTTTTGTCTGTGTGTTTGTCTGTCTTTTGTCTGTGTGTTTGTCTGTCTTTTGTCTGTGTGTTTGTCTGTCTTTTGTCTGTGTGTTTGTCTGTCTTTTGTCTGTGTGTTTGTCTTTCGTGTCCGCCAGATTATCCTTTCCATCGTTGTGCCACGCCAAACAAAAGTTGCTTCAACAATGGACCAGGGCAAGAATTTAATCAGACGACAAAGGAAACTTCAATAAATACGTCATAATGGGTCATCGTCTGAACAGTCGACAATTAGGTCAAGATAAAAACACGAACTGTGAATTGTGGATGGTTGAATTTGTAAGACGGAATGACGTGGCCGAGCGGCGGAGTGTTCGAGTGTTAACTTGATCGTTGCGAGTTCAAATCCCGGACTCAGTCTGTAAAACATTCCACAGTCCTCTACCTGACTAACGATCGGGAAAATTCTCATAATGCTGAACACACCATTCCTTCACATGCTGAGGTCAAAGAAACAGGTGAACTCTACTTCATCTGCCTGGCCCGAAAGTTTAAATCAACTTAAAAACCAAATTATTTTGTGATAATTTGCTTTAAATGTAATGCACTAAAACAAAAACAAATTTAAATTTTTAATTGTTTTTAGTTACAGTAGTAAAAATAAAATTGGCATTTTGCTAAGTAAATCTTCGCAACACATTTTGCAACCCACTGTTATATTTACTTTTACATTTGACGACTAATTGATGATTATCCGGGCACCGTGACCTAAGTTAAAGCTTCTGAAGAAAGAAGGAAATAGAACTGAATTGAGACCAACACCAACATAAAGTTGTGTGTGTGACTGAAGGACTCTCGCCATAACCACCCATGCATAAGAAAACATTTTTCCCACTGTCCGTGTCTCTTGGCTGCGTCCCTACAGACCAAACCTGAAGTCACGGAACATAGCAGGGGCGTAGTTAAAGGGGGTGGGGTGTATGTGGAGGTTGAGGGAATCGTACAAAAAAATTATTTTTGGTGTAATTCATTGATGGGACCAATTTCCAACACATTCCCGTTTCGTGTTCATCAGGAAGCTCAAGAAATTATTTTATTTTTTTACCTTTGTGATTTAATTTTTTTTTACCTTTGCGATTTAATTTTTTTTACCTTCGCGATTGAGATTCCCCATTATTATCTTTTCATTTTTACCTTCTGACGTCAGCAGCTTTATTTTCCCTGGGGATTGTGGTTGTTGGGTTCGAATCTTTCTCACGGTTAGATCTGTCACAGCACTGGACCTTTAATCTAATCTTCTTGTTGACCTTCATGATGACCTTCATGTTGACCTTCATGCTGACCTTCTTGTTGACCTTCAAGTTGACCTTTATGTTGACCATCATATTGCCCATAATGCTGTCGTTGGTCCTCATGCTACCCATGTTTGTGGATAGTTGACTTGTGACCCGCATCATACGTAACCATGGCGACCTCAGCTGAGTGACTTGTCATAAGCAAGCAGCCGGCTATCGAACCCTGGCAGAAATGTGAAATAAAACGTTTTGTCACGGGGCAGACCAAAATCAATCATTAAAGAGTATACCCTTGTATTATATAGGCTACTGTGGTACCTTCTAGACATACCAATATGGAAATAATTTCCTTGCGTATATATATATATATATATATATATATATATATATATATATATATATATATATATATATATATATATATATATATATATATATATATATATATATATATATATATATAATTGTTATTCTAAACGTATTGCTTAGCATGCTTTGCGCTACCATTGTCACCCACAGCAAAATCCATACATACATACATACATACATACACATACCATGACCAATCTCGCCTTGATGTATTTGTCACACTTCCTGTTCTTGTCCCATCAGGCAACACGCTGGTGCTGGTTGTGACGTCACGAAGTCCCCGGATGAAAACAAGAACCAATTTTTTCCTGGCCAACCTGGCAGCTGCTGATTTGTGTGTCGGTCTGATCTGTGTCCTGCCTAATCTCTTCACCTTTCTATACCCGGGATGGCTCCTCGGCAAGGTAACAAAAATTCTAAAAATAACTGCCCTATTTCTAGTATTTTCAGCAGTTCTTTAATTCCTTGAGACAGTTAAAGCTTAAACATGAACTTTAATTTTCACTAATAAAGAAATTAAAAAAAAAACTTGTAGCCGATAATTTGATGTCAAAAAGTGATTCTTTTAAATCAACTGCCTTGTAAATTTTGTAGGCTCTGATTTTTTTTCAATCTTTAACTTTTTGAATACCTTGACCTAGATCTAGTTATTGAATCACGTATGTGATCTACATCTACATTTGAAATCAAAATTAATTGAAAGAATAGATCCGACAACATCGCCCAACCGGTGATGTCGTCACCACATCTAGATTTACTCGGTGAAACCCTCTAAGCCTTGATGTAAAAGTTCAATCCTTTAAAGCCACCAGTCTATCATTCGCGGCGGTTCTTCATTTCGCAGCTCCAAATTTCAGAGACAGAGTTAGGATTTCATGAGAATCAGGTTTGATATGTGCGTGAAATCTGCTAATCAGGTTTAATCTTGAGCTTCCTCCTCCCAGGAATAGAAACTCGGACAATGGCTTCACATGGGAGTAAACTCCCCTACACGACAACCACAGTTCACATGGGAGTAAACTCCCCTACACGACAACCACACGGGAGTAAACTCCCCTACACGACAACCACAGGAGAGTAAACTCCCCTACACGACAACCACATGGGAGTAAACTCCCCTACATGACAACCACACTGGAGTAAACTCCCCTACATGACAACCACACTGGAGTAAACTCCCCTACACGACAACCACAGGAGAGTAAACTCCCCTACATGACAACCACACGGGAGTAAACTCCCCTACACGACAACCACAGTTCACATGGGAGTAAACTCCCCTACACGACAACCACACGGGAGTAAACTCCCCTACACGACAACCACATGAGAGTAAACTCCCCTACACGACAACCACATGGGAGTAAACTCCCCTACACGACAACCACAGGAGAGTAAACTCCCCTACACGACAACCACATGGGAGTAAACTCCCCTACATGACAACCACACTGGAGTAAACTCCCCTACACGACAACCACATGGGAGTAAACTCCCCTACATGACAACCACACTGGAGTAAACTCCCCTACACGACAACCACAGGAGAGTAAACTCCCCTACACGACAACCACACTGGAGTAAACTCCCCTACACGACAACCACAGGAGAGTAAACTCCCCTACACGACAACCACATGGGAGTAAACTCCCCTACACGACAACCACAGGAGAGTAAACTCCCCTACATGACAACCACACGGGAGTAAACTCCCCTACATGACAACCACAGTTTACACGAGGGTAAACTCCCCTACATGACAACCACACGGGAGTAAACTCCCCTACATGACAACCACAGTTATGGTTTACAAGCAAGCTAATGATTTGTCGGGGATAAATTTTACTGCAATTCCCCCCCCCCCCCACACACACACACACATTTCGCACTTTTTAAATTTGATATCATTTCCAGTAAAAAAAAAAATTGCCATTTATGCGCACAAACACGTTTATTTTGGCTGTTGGTTAAAAAAAGGTGCATCATTTGCACATAAGGATGATAAGGACGTGTAGATAATGTGTAAAACAAATTTTATGTTGGATTTTTTTTTTGGCCCATTCTGATTTATTTGTCAAACTCCGGAGCCACAGCAATGTTTCCAGATTTGTATCTAATAAATTATTTCACTGGTCTTTTACGTAACTCTCTCCTAGGGCAGAGATGTCTTGTGTTTTGTGTAACTTTCTGCCTTGGGCAGAGATGTCTTGTGTTTTACGTAACTCTCTCCGTGGGCAGAGATGTCTTGTGTTTTGTGTAACTTTCTGCCTTGGACAGAGATGTGTTGTGTTTTACGTAACTCTCTCCTTGGGCAGAGACGACTAGCACTTATTGGGAAATTTTGACTTATTTTGTTAGCCCTATGGTCAAGATAATGCTAATCTCAATAATGAAAACACTTTTTTTTAAAACTTTGGACGTTCGTTCATGACAGTCTATTGATGTCTGTTATTATCAGTTTTGATAGCTTCATTTTTTTAATCACCGGTGTCTTATATTTGTGACAAACAGTGTAGCTTCACTTTTTTAATGACCGGTGTCTTATATTTGTGACAAACAGTGTAGCTTCACTTTTTTTAAAGACCCGTGTCTTAAATTTGTGACAAACATTGTAGCTTCATTTTTTTAATGACCGGTGTCTTATATTTGTGACAAACAGTGTAGCTTCACTTTTTTTAAAGACCCGTGTCTTAAATTTGTGACAAACGTTGAAGCTTCACTTTTTTTAAAGACCCGTGTCTTAAATTTGTGACAAACGTTGAAGCTTCACTTTTTTTAAAGACCCGTGTCTTAAATTTGTGACAAACGTTGAAGCTTCACTTTTTTTAAAGACCCGTGTCTTAAATTTGTGACAAACGTTGAAGCTTCACTTTTTTTAAAGACCCGTGTCTTAAATTTGTGACAAACGTTGAAGCTTCACTTTTTTTAAGACCCGTGTCTTAAATTTGTGACAAACGTTGAACCTTCACTTTTTTTAAAGAGCCGTGTCTTAAATTTGTGACAAACGTTGAAGCTTCACTTTTTTTAAAGACCCGTGTCTTAAATTTGTGACAAACGTTGAAGCTTCACTTTTTTTAAAGACCCGTGTCTTAAATTTCTGACAAACGTTGAAGCTTCACTTTTTAAGACCCGTGTCTTAAATTTGTGACAAACGTTGAAGCTTCACTTTTTTAAGACCCGTGTCTTAAATTTGTGACAAACAGTGTAGCTTCACTTTTTAATGACCGGTGTCTTATATTTGTAATACACGTTAGGACCGTTTAAATTGGGATACATACAGTTTATATTTTATATTGTCAAAATACATCATCTCACCTTTTCCCGTTCGTGGTCAAGACACATGAGGCAGATGAAATAGAGTCCATTAGTTTCAGAGACCTCGACGCTATGCCTTTGCTTTCGTTAACATGTTAGGTACTCATCAGAGCTGGATGGACTCAGGGACGTTCTACTGACTTGTATCAGATAAATATTATGATTAAAATAGTGTTGTGTAGGATGAACGCGCCAAACTATGTAGGTCTTCTTCTAATTCAACAACACAACTCTGGTCATGTGAGCTGCCTCGAGTTATCGCCCAATTCACACTGCCTGGGGGTCAAGATGTTGACCTCGTGTCCCACACTCATTGTGACCTTCTTGAATCACGTGATGCCCATAAATCTCCAGAAAATCCCCGGGGTGACGTGGGTGTTGGGTGAATAAGTTAAGCTGGGGGGGGGGGGGGCAATCAGGAAAGAAGTTGTAGTAGGTCTTGTTAGATCACGTGATGACCGTTTGATGCGCGTGGTCTGTGTAGATAACAGTCTGGTCAGTTGCAGGAGAATTGGTGCTAGAGGTGATCAGCTAGAGGTGATCTGGTGATGGGGTCAACATGGGGTCTGTGGGACCAGGGTTTGATGGGGTCTATGGGATCAGGGTTTGATGTGATCTAGGGGAGCAGGGTTTGATGGGGTCCATAGAATCTGGATTTGATGGGGTTCATGGGATCAGGGTTTGATGGGGTCCATGGGATCAGGGTTTGATGGGGTTCATGGGATCAGGGTTTGATGGGGTCCATATGATCAGGGTTTGATGGGGTCCATGGGATCAGGGTTTGATGGGGTCCATATGATCAGGGTTTGATGGGGTTCATGGGATCAGGGTTTGATGGGGTCCATGTGATCAGGGTTTGATGGGGTCCATGGGATCAGGGTTTGATGGGATCCATGGGGTCCATTGGATCAGGGTTTGATGGGGTCCATGGGACCAGGGTTTGATGGGGCCCATGGGATCAGGGTTTGATGGGGTCCGTGGGATCAGGGTTTGATGGGGTCCATGGGATCAGGGTTTGATGGGGTCCATGGGATCAGGGTTTGATGGGGTCCATGAGAAGGGTTTGATGGGGTCTATGGGATCAGCGTTTGATGGGGTCCATGGGATCTGGGTTTGACGGGGTCCATGGGATCAGGGTTTGACGGGGTCCATGGGATCAGGGTTTGATGGGGTCCATGGGATCAGGGTTTGATGGGGTCCATGGGATCAGGGTTTGATGGGGTCCATGAGAAGGGTTTGATGGGGTCTATGGGATCAGCGTTTGATGGGGTCCATGGGATCTGGGTTTGACGGGGTCCATGGGATCAGGGTTTGACGGGGTCCATGGGATCAGGGTTTGATGGGGTCCATGGGATCAGGGTTTGATGGGGTCCATGGGATCAGGGTTTGCTGGGGTTCATGGGACCAGCGTTTGATGGGGTCCATGGGATCAGGGTTTGCTGGGGTCCATGAGATCAGGGTTTGATGTGATCTAGGGGAGCAGGATTTGATGGGGTCCATGAGACCAGGGTTTAATTGCATACGTAAGACAAGCCCCACCCAATAGGTTTCCATAGAATGTGTTACCACTATCCTCTTATATATTCTTATAACACTGTTACTCATAAAACAGATCATCTAATATATCGTACAGCACAGCTCCTGTTATTATGAATACGTGTACAATGATTTCATTCTACGTGTGTAAGGACCAATGAGCTGAGAGCGGACTAACAGATCTATCTATGATGCCGGTGTCTATGTGTATGTTGTACGTTCAAATATATCTGCTCAGATATTTCACGTAATGGGTGTCCTGATATTTTCAAACAAATGTGATTGGATATCTGGAGAACATGTACCTGACGATCACGTGATTAGATAGCATCATCAGGCTGATTAATATGGGATTAAAGCCTTAATCCGGTTCAGATTAGTGATTATCTGACGTTTGAAGCGGCGTCTGACGAATGAAATGTATCTAGATTTTCTCAACCTTCAAACAACATGTAATCAAATTATGCAATTAACCCTTTGAATCAAGCCACGGCATTAACCCTTTAAATCAAGCCACGGCATTAACCCTTTAAATCAAGCCTAGGCGTTAACC